GCGGCGCGTTTGACGAGAACCTTCAAACAGCGTGGCGGATTCACGAGAAAATACCTGTTGTCTTCTCTGACTGGCTTGAATCGCATACGTCTGAGCGGCCGGAAAGTAAAGAAAAGAAAAGCGCAATCTACGTGGTCGCGGTCTCACGATGAACTGAAAGGCAATCATCAGGACTGTGCACGCGAGACAGCATATCGATGATGAAGAGCGTCAGAGTGGGACGAAGGGCTCCAAAGTCCGCACACAGAAGCATGTACAAAGGAAGAAGCGTCCGAAGGGCAACAGCAAGGCAATGCTCGCGATGAGAACAACGCGTTTAAGTAAGGGTTTCAAACCGCGGAGTGAAATCGCGAGAAAAGTGCCGTTGTCACCTTTGACGGGTCTGTATCGTATGCGTCCGAGCCGCCGAAAAAAAAGCGCTTCATACGCAAGAGTATTCGAATGATAAATTGCTAGGCAATCACCAGGACAGTGCGCGCGAAAGAGCTAGCAAGCATGTGGGTGCTGATGAGCATCAGAGGTGGGCGAAAGGCGCCGTAGACGGCACCAAGGTGCGTGCAAAACGGAAAAAGCGTCCTAAAAAACTCCCAAGCATTTCCCCGAGGGTGAACATGGTTACGTGCGAATGCACGGAGTGATGCTATGAGGGGGAGTAAAGTTAAAATTCGTAGGCATTCGCCCGTGAGTTAACGTAAACTCCCCCGAGTGACCACATTGCGATTCCCAGGAACCATTAGACCCTCTCGAGAAATCTTGCTGAGTTTACGCGTATATGTGCGAGTAAATTCGCACTATAATGATGTCCACGGCCCACTTCGCCCGCTTGCGCTCGGCATCACGGGCCCTTCGCCGCGCTGCCTTGTCTTCAACCGGCGCGACATCTTCAACGACGCGTGCAACGCTCGCATTCGATTGCGTTGTACTCGTTGTTGGAGGTATCGCACTCGAGGTTGATGCCTGCGATAAATCCATACCTATGACGACTTACCAATCTCGAGCAAGCTGAGGGCGGAGCGCGCGCAATCACGTGGTGTGTGACGTCGCTGCGCCGTTGCTACAGACTTCTCCGCTGCTCGCGCCGTTGCTATAAGAAAGGAGGAGGCGCACCGCGGACGGCTGATTCAGGGTCGCTTATAAAGTGCATTCGTGCTTAAAATAGGCAAGAGAAAATTGCGACGCGTTTGAGGAATGTATTGACTGATTTGTGGGATAACATAACTTTAATGATTCCGCACTGAAGGCTCTACGACTGCTGCTGAATCGAGCACACACACAGTTTTCTTGCTTCTTTCGGGCGAGAGTGTTCTTATCGCCGGCGCCCGTGTTTGGAGGCATCGCCGCGACGCGCAGGCGCAGAAGCTGTGCCGACCCGTTTCACCACCCCCACCCCCCCACGCAGATAGGAGCCGTCAGGGTTGAAGACGTTTGGGGACCCGCACCTGGCGTCGAAGGCGGGTGGTGTAGGGTGCCACCTTGGCGTTGCGGGATGCTGCCGGCGAATTACGGGAGGCGTGCGGGGGTTGGTAGGCTCCTGGGAAAGGAGGTATGATGGCTTTAGGCGGTCGATGGAAACGCGTACATTCTTTCCACTGATTTGCAGGGTGAATGTTTTGTCGTTGCGACAGATGACTTTGTAAGGTCCGGAGTAAGGCGGCTAGAAAGGTGCGCGTACGGTGTCGTCGCGGAGGAAGGCATGCGAGCATGTTGCCAGGTCCCTAAACACGAAGGGGGTCGGCTTGGTGTGGCGAGCCGCTGGTGAGGGGCGCAGCGCGGCCATTGTGCAACGGAGTCAAGCGACGAAGTCTGCAGGGTCCGAGCTGGTTACATCAGAGGTCGGAGAGGAGAGGAGTTCTCCAGGTTGGCGAAGCGGCTCCCCGTAGACGAGTTCCGCGGGCGTGGCTTAAATGTCTGGCTTGAGAGTTGCGCGCAGACCAAGAGCGACGACGGGGAGGGCTTCTAGCCAGGTTAAGTGAGGGTGGCACATGACGGCTGCCTTAAATTGCTGGTGAAACCGTTCAATCATCCCGTTGGCGCAAGGGTGGTAGCTAGTTCTCCGTGAACGCTCGAACCCGGTGGAGAGCCCGAGAAGCCTGGAGAGTTGACACTCGAATTGCCTTCCTTGATCGGTGGTGACTCGACGAGGAGTGCCGAAGCGTAAAACCCAATAGGAGAACAAGGCTGATGCAACATCTTCTGCGGTGATCCTTTCGAGCGGCCACACCTCGGGCCAACGAGTGTAACGATCGATGGCGGTGAGGCAATAGCGGTAAGGACCGGCTGGTGGGAGGGGGCCAATGATGTCGATGTGGGCGCGCTGCAACCGTTCCGTCGGGAGGGAGAATTCTCCGAGTGGCGACGTGACGTGCCGGGTGATCTTGTCGCACTGGAATTGAATGCATGTGCGTGCCCAGGTGCAGCAGTCTCGTTGCATTGAGAGCCACGCGTACCGGTCAGTCACGAGGCGTGTAGAAGCTCGGATACCGGGATGACTGAGGCTGTGTAACTGGTTGAAGAGGTTTTGGCGATGCAAAGAAGGGACGTATGGTCTCTCTCGTCCTGTTGATATGTCACAGTAGAAAGCGTCCGTTCACTCAGGGATGGTAACTTTTTGAAGTTGAAGGGAAGAGCCATTCTCGAGGAGCTGCTGGAGTTCGGTGTCCGTTTTCTGAGCTTCGGAAAAGGTGTCGGTTGTAACGGTTGGTAGCTCGACAGCCGAGACGCGAGAGAGTGCGTCGGCAACCACGTTTTCCTTTCCGCTGAGGTGGCGAATATCTGCGGTGAATCGAGCGATGAAGGACAGCTGGTTCTCCTGGACCGGTGGAAGTTTTTCGCGGCGTTAGGAGAAGGCGTAAGTAATAGGTTTAGCCCAGCCGCGGTGGTCTAGTGGCAAAGGTACTCGGCTGCTGACCCGCAGGTCGCGGGTTCGAACCCCGGCTGCGGCGGCTGCATTTCCGATGGAGGCGGAAATGTTGTAGGCCCGTGTACTCAGATTTGGGTGCACGTTAAAGAACCCTAGGTGGTCTAAATTTCCGAAGCCCTCCACTACGGCGTCTCTCATAATCAAATGGTGGTTTTGGGACGTTAAACCCCACAAATCAAGTAATAGGTTTATGGTCGGTGTATGTGGTGCAGTGCTGTGCCTCGAGGATGTGGCGAAAGTGTTGGACTGCTTCGTAGATGGCGAGGAGCTCTCTGTAGTAGGCTGGCCAGGTCGTCTCCGCAGGGGGCGGGGTTGCATCACCGATGCTGCTGGAAGGCGGGGGCGGCTTCGGGGAAGAGAGTTTCTTCGAGCAGAACGCCAAGGGGCGCCAGTTGTTTTCCACACGCTGCATAGAGAGCCTCCGACGGTGGTGCTAGAGGCGTCTGTGAAAAGACCCAGGGGCGCCTCTGGCTTGGGATGGGAGAGCACCGTAGCGTTGCAGAGGGCAATTTTGCAGTCTTCGAACGCTTGCGTTTAAACTGGGGTCCAAGTGACAGGACGGTTGCCGCGTTGGCCGGCCAACGCGTCATGGAGAGGGGCCTGATATGTGGCCGCTTTAGGCACGAAGCGCCTGTATAAGTTGAACATGCCCAGGAAACGGCGGAGGTCCTTCGCTGTGGAGGCAGCGCGTAATTTTGCAGGGCCAGGATGCGGTCAGGCAAGGGTCTAGTTCCTTCTGCGGAGATTTCATGGCCAAGAAACGTGAAGAGGGGGGCGCCGAGCGTGCTCTTCTCAACGTTTATGAGTAAGCCGTGTTCGTCTAGGCACTGGAAAATTTGACGAAGGTGTTGGCGATGTTCCGTTTCGTTGCGGGAGAAGATCAAGATGTCGTCTAGGTAGACTAAACAGAAGTCCAGGCCGCGGACTACGTCGTCGATGAAGCGTTGAAAGGTTTGCCCTGCTTTGCGGAGACCAAAACAAACAAAAGGAATTCGAATAGGCCAAAAAGCGTGATAACTGTGGTCTTTGGGACGTCACCGTGTTTAAAGGAATTTGTGTGTAGGCCTTTACGAGGTCCACCACTGAGAAGATTGTGCTGCCGTCTAAGCGGTGTGCAAAGTCCTGTATATGATGGACTGGGTACCTGTCGGGAACGGTGCGGGCGTTGAGGGCGGGATAATCTCCGCAGGGGCGCCAGCCATTGGTCTTCTTTGGTACCAGATGAAGCAGTGAGGCGTAAGGTCCCTCGGAGCGGCGGGCAGTACTTTCGCGGAGCATGGCTTCGAATGCAGCCTGTGCGATTCGTAGGCGGTCCGGGGCTAGCCGATGGGCGCGGCATGAGACCGGGGGGCCGGGAGTTGTACGAATGTAGTGCACGGTTGAGTGGTGCACCTCTCGCGGACGCCCGCTAGGTCGAGTCAGGTCGGGAAATTCTGCGAGGGTGTCATGGTATGGCGACTGGTTCCCAATGGTGAGTGCCTTGACGTTAGGCTGTTGGGTGGTCGCACGTTGGCCCGGCGTGCAGAGGCTTGTTGTAGCATCGATAAGTCGGTCATATCGGCAGTCAGGTAGAAGATTGTAAGATTGTAGTACGCCAAGAAGTCGGACCGGATGATCGGCTCTGCGACGTCGGCGATGACGAAATTCCATGGAAATTCTCGACACAGGTTTTTGAGGTCGATGTTAAGGCGGAGCGAGCCGTAGGTCTTGATGGTCAAATGATTCGCCGCATTGAGCTCAAAGGACGTGCAAGGACGCTTGTCACGCAGGAAGGTTCGGAGAAAGCAACAGATGTCGGAGCCACAGTCGACGAGGAACCGCCGCTTTGCGACTTGATCGGTGACGAATATGTGACGGCCTCTAAGTTGGCAGCTCGCGGCCGTCTCTACGGGCTGCCGTTGAAGTTTCCCTGACGTCCAGCTGAGCAAGGTGGTTGACATTTCCGTGCTTTGTCCACGAAGCGACGATGGTAGTAGCAGGGGCCGCTACCGTTTCCGTGCGATGAAGCGGCGTTGTTGTCTTGGCTTTGAGAGCGTTTTTGTGGACGCAGCTTCGGGCTTTGATCCAGGCGCCTTTGAATTCAGTCCAGCTGACTGGTGATTTCGTCGACACAGCGCGCGAGCTCACTTCTGGACTGTCTGGTGTCAAAGGCGTTGACGGTGAGAGGCGATGCTGGCAACGAAATCTCGACGACTTGATCAGCGATGCGAGAGAGCTGGTCCAGCGGCAGATTCGGCTGCGCCTGGAGGATGGCCTGCGCATGTGGGGGTAGACGCTGAAGCCAGATGATATGGAGGAGGCAGTCGTCGACCGGGGTGCTGCCCAAGAGGTCACGCATGTAACGCAGGAGCTGTGATGGCTTGCGGTCACCGAGTTCTTCGTGCTGGAGTAGGTTACGCACCTTCTCGTCTTGTGAAGGTGAGAGCCGGCGGATCAGTTCCCTCTTCAGGTGTAGGTAACGGTCATCAGCCGGGGAATTCGCAAGTATATCGCGAACTTCAGCCGCATAGCGAGAGTCTAGATGGGCGACGACGTAGTCATAGCACGTCCGGTCCTGGGTGATGCGTGCCGTGGAAAACTGCGCCTCGACTTGAGCAAACCACACGTCAGGCGCCTCTGCCCAAAATGGCGCAAGTTTGACGGCGACGCGAAAAGCACCCGTGTTGGTGGCAGCCGCAGCAACGGAGGCGCCCGAGGTGGCAAGGACCACTGGAGCGAAGTTTTGGGGGGCGTGACCCAAGTGGAGTGGTGCATGGTCGTCGGACGAGAGTGATTTTCATTGCGCTGCTGCTGTTCCCGGAGCTGCTACTCTTGGTTCTGGATAACTTGCTGCTGGGCCTGCAGTTGTTGTTGCAGTTGCTGTACTTGTTGTTGAAGGGCAGCAAGGGTTTCTTCGTCGGCCAAGGCGGTGCGGTACGTTCGTTTTCCGGGTCACCAGATGTGGGATAACATAACTTTAATGTTTCCGCACTGAAGGTTTTACAACGACTGCTGCTGAATCGGGGCACATACACAGTGTTCTTGCTTCTTTCGAGCGAGAGTGTTCTTATCGCTGGCGCCCGTGTTTGGAGGCATCGCCGCGACGCGCAGGCGCAGAAGCGGTGCCGACCCATTTCGCCACAGATTGATATGTGGGGTTTAACGTCCCAAAACCACCATATGATTATAAGAGACGCCGTAGAGGAGGGCTCGGGAAATTTCGACCACCTGGGGTTCTTTAACGTGCACCCAAATCCGAGCGCATGGGCCTACAACATTTCCGCCTCAGGAATGTATTCAAATGGCGGAGCAAAATCACAAGAAAGTTGCAGTACCGCAAGCGTCCGACCAGCCCTAGAGCAAAGAAAAGAGAAACGCATTGCGCGCGTAAGCGATCGGAGGACAGGGGACCCTTCTGTTGCTCTCGCGGCGCATTAGACGGGGTGCGCAACACACAGGTCGGTGGTTTTCGCGAAGTGGCTGGAAGGAACGACAGCAAGTCTGTTTTGAGAAACGTCGCGGGGTCCGGTAGCAAAGATATTTACCTTGACGCGTGTTGTACACCCCGCTTGACGAAAAAAGCCTTCCGGGCGCGACCACCACGACTTCGACTCAAGTTTTTCGAGAAGAGTTGTTAGCTTCTCAAAAATATTGACTCAGGACTGTTGAAATGAAGGCTTTGTTTGTTTACTTTAGTGATTTTGTGCATAACTAGTTTAAACTTTGTTTTCGTTAGCGCACTATTGTTTCGGTAGCCTATATGCATTGCAAGTATATCTATCGGAAGGATAGCGACGCGCAATCGAGATAGTTGCAGGGCTTAAGAGATGAGCTCCTTGGAAGAAAGAGGACGGTCAGCCTTTCGTCGCTCTATTGACAACATGTTCGATTGACCGCGAGAGTGCGAGGTACGTGGCTCGCTAAGCGAGAGTAACACCCGAATGAGAGATGTTGCTTGGCTCGTACTTGACTCGTTCTTGACTCAAGACAGTCTTGCCGGTCACCATAAATCGTTTTCGAACTTGCGGACGACTTGAAGGCGATTTAGCTCGGTCGAAGTCAGGACAAGTTTCAAATCAGCTGCGGAGCTAGCTTGAAAGCGACTTCGTGCGTTATTCCAACATGGCCACCTCTCGAATGGACGTCGCGCAGAGGGTGGCCGCTTTTGAGTTTGCTTGCCTCGCCATAAGCGTAGCATTTTCCGAGGCGCACTGCCTGCCGAAGAATCTTGGACCCGCTTTACGTGACCGAGGAAATTCGATGAAGTTGTACGACGAGGAACAACTCCACGCTCAATACAGATTCACGAAGAACGCCGTGCGGCAGCTGCTGGGTATGTTGCCGCTCCGTGAAACTGAGGACAACCGAGGACAGCCTGTGCCCCCAGTGTTACAGCTACTGATGGCTCTCGGGTTTTACGGCGCTGGCACATTCCAAACAGTCACCGGGATCTCGTCCGCATTCCGTAGTCGACAGTTTGTCATGCAGTAGAAAAAGTTACGCTACTCATCGCAAAGCACCTGTCCGCAATGCTGGTGCGCTTTCCGCAGCCGGCAGCACTTTCTATAGTTATGCGGGACCTTTATGAAGTGGCTAAGTTCCCTGGCGTTAAACGCTGTGTCGACTACACACACGTGCGTATTGATTGCTTCGGTGGGGATGACGCCGAAGTGTTCCGTAAGCGCAAAGGCCATTTCTGTTTTTCTTAAACACGACGACAATTTCCGCCTCTTTCGATACAAGATTGACTCGGTGCTGTGTCTGTGTGCCTCGTCTAACCTTTCGTCCCGTCTAGGGCGCTGTTTCTCGCTCAGATAGCATCGCTTGTAGCACAACGCTACATAGAATTCCACACATAAAAAAGAGGTGCCCCTATCACGGTTTTTTTTTTTATCCGGTTCACCATCGTGCACCGAGACACTGCTGCACCCCGCGAGACAGAATTCTGCTGAGGGCAATGTCCTGACCGCCGCTTTTTTTCTTGTTTACCAAGCTCAACAAAAGGATACGAATCACATTTGTTCCCAGAACTTTTTTTGTATATAACAGCGACCTAGCCCACTACAGGCATGCGCACAGGCGAACTGAAAGGCAAATACCGTGAAAATCGCGTCACCTCGTGAGCCAGGTCAGCACAAATACATGCCGTGGCGTTCGATTGAAAAAAAAATGGCAGATACGCAAAGATATTCCTTGCGAGTTTTTTCAGGGTTCATACGAAAGTTTCCTTTCTTAATGTAATGCTTTGTTCGCATGTTCCGGTGTGGAAGTAAAAAAAAGCTAGTTCGTGAGTTCATGTGTATGCTTTCTGAGAGTAGTAACTGCAAGCGAAAGTCAAGTAGTAGTTCATTCAGGCAGGAGCATTGTGACGTGCATTTGAGGATGTGGATGTTCCTGATGCAGGTGCAGCATGACAGTTGTCTCTTCGTCAGCTCTGAGGGAACTGACGAATAGCTTTGGTGGCACAAAATTTTCGGAACTAAAAGACAGTGTGAAGCAAAAGGCTTTATTTAATGAGTACGAGGCCTGCTAGGTTACAGCGGATTGCTCCCGCTAGCACACAGGTATACCACGGGGAACGCCTCATTTGGCCATTAATATTCTCGAAAGCAGTCTAATGGGAAGATAATTCTCGAATCATGGTTGAACTTTTGGCGAAAGTTCAGACAAACCTTCCGATTGCTGCTTTGTGTTGTGATAATACTTAAGGAAGGTTGTTTTGGAGAATTCGTAGGACTCGATGGGTCTCAGGGCGGGCCGGGCGCTCTCCCGTGTCTGTGGTGGTGTGTATAAATGTTTTTCCCAGAAGAGAGCCACAAGGAACGAGCGGGAAAGAGTCCTTGGCTGGGCGTCATCAGCAGTGGCTTGGAAGACGGCACCACACTACGACACTTCGGGCAACCTGTGCAGCTGGTCACCCTAAGGTCGAATCTCCCGCTGGCGGATGAGCTGTTGTGACTGGCGCCAAAGCTGACAAGGGAGCGGCGCTCTTTGTATCCTCAAACAAGTAGCCGACCGGCCGGCTGCCTATGACCACCAGGCATTGTCTTTCCTAGCCGGAGGGTGAGACGTCGTGTCAACACGAGGCTGGAGGCCGTTTAAGAGAGGATACCGAATACAGCATCATGCTTGGAAGAGACCGCGGTGGCCGCCGCAAATCGCCCCGCTAATTAAGCGAGCGGTTCGGCGGACCCTTTGATGTATGCTGTCATGAGCTTCGGACCTCTCGGCCAGCGGTAAACAAAAGACGAGGAAGAGCCCCGCTGGCGCCACCTTGGAAAACAGTGATCACGCCTCAATATTGGACGTTTACGTGGGCCGTGCATGCTCTTCACCCTCGCCGGCTGTGTGTGATCTGTGATTGGACAATAACCTCTGCACGTGTTCCCTGATCTAGGAATCTGGGGAGAACACAACCTTTATAATGAGCCACCCGGCTTATTCGAAGGAGTGCCATGTAGAGGAATGCCAGATTCGAAAGCTCGCCATGAATTAAAGAGCTCGTCATGTACGAGAGCTCACTTTGTATATAATGTAAATAAACCTTCTTCAAGTCTCTATTCCTCCTGCCTCGACAACTTCATCCCGGACCTCCGGTCTCTGCAAACCCGGTCGTAACACCTCGTAAACAATATTCGATGCTGTTTTGCAGTGAAAGCTAGTCATGGTCAAAGACTGTGAAGAGGAATCGAATATAATAGAAGACGTTGCAGATGATTCCTATTAATATTCTGGTGTGATGACAACATGCATGCGTTTCTCTTTGAACGGCAAATCAATCCCTCCTCTGTATTCCAGACGCTTTGCCATGTACGTGAACAGAGCCACCACGCTGATGTGTTTGATCTCGGCAGCACTCGCCTCACCGTTCTTACTGACTTTCAGTCGTCCCATGAGTCCTATCAATGGAGTGCTTCGTCGAAGAGCATTCTGCCAATACCGCGCTGGGGCTACAACGTCGATATCGAACCCTGTGCAACTAGGTATTTGTTTTAAATCAGCAATGCACGCTGCCACGACCATGCCACCCGAGATGTTGGCAACCAACTGATACAGTATATAAGGGTGCACAAGAAAGGATAGCGTAGCGCAGTCCGCCGCGTTGGAGCAGTGGACATGGCACTCGGTTGCTGACCAAAAGGTCATGGGTTTGATTCCTGCCGGAGCGATGATTTCGATGGAGGCAAAACGGTAGATGCCCGTGTACTGTGCGTTGTCGGTGCACGTTAAAGAAGACTTGATGGTCAAAAATTCTCGAGCCCTCCACTGCAGCATCTCACATATTCATATTTTGGTTTTTCAACTTAAAACCCCCGATACTATTATTAACATCTAGCGTACTGCGCAAGTACGAAGGAAGGAAGCACAAAAAGACAGGAAGAACCCTCAATTCTGATCGGGACTTCCCCTTTTAGTGTGGTACTTCCCAACTCCGAGGCTGCAAGCGATTCTGCGGTTATTGCTGGCGCCAGTGTCTCTCAGTTCCCATTAGAGAGGTCACGTGCGTTCCGTAAATGGTTTTGCGGACACCAGGACGGCACTCACTTTTGCTAGCTTGGCCAAGTAATACTTTCACGTGAAAGCGTTGTATAAAAAAATCCCAGCATATTCACGTGCTGGATGATGAGGAGTGGGGCGAAGCACGGACACACCGACGGATGGATAGACGGATGGATAGACGGATGGATGGACGCATGGACGCGTGGACGGACGGACGCACAAACGGACGGACGCATACACGCACGGTCGCACAGACGGATACGCGGACGGACGCATAGACAGATGGGTGGACGAATGCACAGGCGTACGAATGGATAGACGAACGAAAGCACGGACGGAATGACGAACGGTTCAACCCACTGACCATCGCACACTGCGTGGATATGCTGTAACACCGTTTCTAGTGACATGCAATGCGATTTAACTTGCAACTGGCTACTGCGACTAGGACAGCTACGACGACACGGCGCGTAATTCGAACGGCGTAAAGGGCTTCGCCACTAAAGCTTCGGGACAATTTTAACGTGCCAAGTTCCTAAGGTACATTTCGCTGTATCATCGTTCATTGTCGGTTTCACTCAGTAGAAGTCTGATGAAAATTGAGTGGTTGGTGAGGGGATTATCTCATCACCAGCAACGGACCCAATTACGACAACCGACTACATAGCACTTCTTATCACTAAGCGCTTATCTTTGCGATATGATTAAGCGCTTTGAACATGGTATCGAAAAATGTTCTCTGTGAGTATACATTGTAATTTGATTTCCTTTACTCTGCTTCACCGAAGGTAATTGCTTTGTGCTATAGATGATTAAAGCCAATGCTCCCAGTGATTGCCAATTTTGGTTCTCGTAGTGAATGTAGCATTAGCGTTCAAACAAAGACGCCCTCCGATTGAGGCCACGCTGGCAGTTTTACTGGCTATCTGCCGTTTTATGAACTGCGCTTTTTATCTCCACAATGAAGGAATCACTCGTACACCGGCGCCGGGTCGATTTCGGTCACCAAGCACGTTTCGATATGTTCCGGTTGGTCCACCTTATGACGGCAGGTGCATCCCTCGGCACATGCGGTGCCATTTCCCACAGGGTTACACTGTTGCAAAAAAGAGACGCAAATGTATTAACACAAATGTATTAACATAAACTTTCACTTACATAAACGTATATTTCTTAGTATTTATTACATAGCGTATTTCTAAATTCTATTGTGAATGTATTCATCCTGTCACTCCAATTTATTCGTGTACACACCACGATTTATTGCATCTTCATGCTACTAGATGAAATCAAAAATAACCATGAAAACTTTTGTTACAATATTCCCTTTGGTTCATATATATCATACTCTCCTATTATTTATTGATATCTATTCAGTAAATACGTCACCTGAGCGAGACATTGAGCGTGCTTTTCTACTCCAGGAAAGCTCCACAAGGCTCTGAAAGAGAAACAGATTGTTGCACGCACGAAAAAAAACGGTCATGCGACAACTTAACTATTCACACATTTCAGATGGCTTGCACTGGCACTTTTGAACAGCCACGGTGAAGCACAATCATCAAACTTAATCATCACTTAATCAATAAACTGAAGCAGGCTAATCGCCGAGTGATTATTTGGTCACGAGGGTGAGCGTATGAATGAAGGAAATATATTTACAAAATATGCAGAGATAGTGATAGGCAGCTGACGCCACGATAGGATTTCACAATGAATTTCAGCAGGTGCCGGATATCAGCTGTCTGTGCTGGCACAAGTTCAGGGGCGATCATCTTGCCGATGGTAGCATCCGCTGCGCTATGCGAGGAGGAGAATGGAGGAAAGAAGGAAGGAGATTCCGCAACAAACGCCGCAATGGCAGCATCGATAGAAGAGACTTTTGCCAAAGTCATATACCATCTAGGAAAACCTGAGCGCACCAGCTCGAATTTAGGATGGGAAGAGATGCTGTGTTTCCGTGACTGTCAAAAGTTTGTGAGGCGCGGCAACATTTTTGGCCACCAGAACGTCCGCAATAGGTGTCAACATGTAATCACCGTCGGGAATAGGAAGGACAGACCTCAGGTTTACGTAGGTAACGGCTTGAGGTGCTAGGCGAACTTGCTCTACAGAACACAGACGTGGTTGAGCTGGTGTTGGGTCGTCATGGTAACTCGGTTAATATGCTGATTCCGCAATCAATAAGGGCAGAGTGGGAGGATAAAAAGTCCACGCCGGGGATAAGTTCACGGGAATATTTCTCGGGCACAGCAAATAGTACTGTCGTGGAAAGATCGGCAACACTTATACGCGTGGAGCGCATTCCAAGCACGAGAAATATGCCACCGTTGGCGACCTGGATGAGTGGTACTTTGGGTGGCGGTAAAACTTTCCTACGGCGGCAACGAAGTTGTGAATTCATCACTGATGTGTAAGTTTCTGTGTCCACAAGGGCAACAACGGGTGCATCGTCTACTTCAACGTCAATAAGGTCGCGTCTAGTAGGCAGCATGGTCAGAGGATTTGGCAGGCAGGACGTCGATGCAGCATCATCTCCAGGAACTACATCATCTAGTTTTCCCGTAGCAGGTGATCAGTCGGCGACGTCGGTCAGCGAAATCGGGGTGATTGAGATTACGGGCGATGGGAGAGCGGTGAACGGGACTGGTGAGAATGCGAAGATGGGTAATGATGACGATACGGCGGCATAGAAGGAACATCTTCACTGGTGGCCTGAGGTGATTCCCGGTCAGGTTGAAAGCGTCCATGATACTTTTGTGGGCGATAAGTGTACCCATAAGTTGCCTAATGCCAATGCCACCGGGTGTTACAATGGCAGGCCACGTGTCCGATTCGGCGGCAGTTGAAGCAAATCGGACGATCATCAGCAGTTCTCTACTCGGCTGGATTGGGAGAGCGCCCCGCAAGGTTTTGATCTCAGGCATACGAAACAGGGGGTCGACAGCGGTCGATCGGCTGAGAAGGAGCTGTAGTGCACTCGGAGGCCAGTCCAGCATGGGAAAGCTCTTGCCGCACAACGGCATGTGCCAGTGGCACTATCTGAGGGCTAGAGTCACAGGCAAGGTAGCATGCGGACGCAGGAGACAGAGCTTCAAGTTCACGTCTGATTATCTTGGTAACGTGCCATAGGCGTATCAGCCGGGGGGGGGGGGGGGGGGCAAGGGGGCTGAGCTCCCCCACTGAGAAAAGTTGGGTGGCTAAGCCCACCCACTTTCGATAATGGTCACTGTCGGCTGCGCGCAGGGGAAAACAACTAAGGCAAAACTTTCCTTCACCACTGTAACCACTAAATTAAATGTAACGAGAAAAAGAAAATATTGTGAAGCAAAGGTACAATGTAGTGATAATCTTTCAACATTTCAGCAGTGACAATTTTCCTTGAAGGCTTTTTGCGACGCTTTTCACCCTGTGGAGTAGCACTGCAGAGCAGGCTAGCACTGCACAGGGGCCCCATATATTACATCACTTGTTAATTTTTATTCTACTGCAACTGGCCGATGCAGTTATAGATGGGAACGAACAAACTTTTTATGAACCTGTCAAATCAATTTCTCCTGCAGGAAAATTATTTTCTTTCATCAAAAAGGATTACCATCACCGCTGCTCTGTCGAAGCTGCTGTGAGCGCTATATTGCGCCTAATTTTTCTAAATATTTTAGTTTTGCCGTACTGGAAGCGCCAAGAAAGGTTTCTGCTTTAATCTCCGATAAATCTGATCAACCTTGCTTATGGCAACTTGGAGCCTCGAATGCAGCTTGAAAGCAGCGACGAATAAAGCAGTAGACTAGAGCTCAGTGGGAAGCTGAAAAAAGTAGATAAAAGCTCTCAAAATACGTTTGGTTTGTTTAGGAGTGCTTAAAATATAAAAACTTAATTCTTTGTGAGCTATTTTTTGGGCATTAAAATCTCATTCAATCATAAAATATTTACTGTTGAGGAGGCCGCCATCAATATGATTGCATTTATGCGGAATGTTGTAAGGTAATGCATAAAAAGCATCCCGTGTAGTATTATTGCATGCATCATACATGACAAACATATACTTGTCCCAGAGCATGCTGATTGAAACTGACTGTCCTTTTTTATGCTATTGAACAAGTGTTGTGCGTATTATGAAAAATCACATGAAAGTGTGAGCACGTCAAGGAAGCTATCTCTCTTCATATATCTATCCATCTATATATATATATATATATATATATATATATATATATATATATGAGATCTTACAGACAATAATGCCGAGGAAAGTATAGGGGAAGTTATTAGACCAAATTATAATGTAAATACGAAGAAAGAAAAGTAGGAGAAAAGTTAACTTGCCGTGAACAGGAACCAAACCTACGACCTTCAAACAACTCATTCGATGCTCTGCCACTGAGCTAGCACGGCGGCTATCCTCGCAGCCACTTATTGGGTTTACATGTGAATTTTAGCGCGGGAGTGTGCCTTGGGTTGTATACCAGAGACTAATGGTCAGCTGCATAGCTCGGCATACTCACTCATGAGTACACTCACTCACACTCATTCATACTTATTTGAACATGGTGAGTATGAGTATGAGTGAGTACTGATGAGTATGAGTATGAGTGAGTAGAACGTGAGTGAGTGCTCATGAGTATGAGTAAGAGTGAGTATGGACGTGAATGAGTACTTTCAGTGTGAGTAGAAGTTAGTATGAACGTGAGTGGATGCTCATGAGTGTGAGTAGGAGTGAGTATGAACCTGAATTAGTATTCTTAGTGTGAATAGGAGTGAGTATGAACGTGAGTGACTACTCTGAGTGTGAGTATAAGTGAGTATGAATGTGAGTAAGTACTCTGAGCATGAGTAGAATTGAGTATGAACGTGAGTGAGTATTGTGAGTATCAGTAAGAGTGAGTATGAACGTGAGTGAGTACTTTGAGTGTGAGTATGAGTGAGTATGAACGTGAGTGAGTACTCATGAGTGTGAGTAGATGTTAATTTGAACGTGAGTGAGTACTCATCAGTGTGAGCATCCGTCAGTATGAACGTGAGTGAGTATTCATCAGTGTGAGTAGGAATGAGTGAGAGCGTGTGAGTGTGAGTAGGAGTGAGTATGAACGTGAGTGAGTACTCTGAGTGTAAGAAGGAGAGAGTATGAACGTGAGTGAGTACTCTTGAGTGTGAGTAGGAGTTTGAACATGAGTGAGTACTGATTAGTGTGATTATTCGTTAGTATGAACGTGAGTGATTATTCATGAATGTGATTAGGAGTGAGTGAGAGCTCATGAATGTGAGTAGGAGTAAGTACGAACGTGGGTGAGTACTCATGAGTGTGAGTAGACTTGACTGCGAAGGTGAGTGAGTTGCTGTGAGTGTGAGTAGCAACGAGTAGGAACATGAGCGAGTTACTATAAGTGTGAAAAATATTTGTAACCATCGCAACGGCATCCTCAATACGTTGGAAATAACGGGCACTATGGCATGCAAGCTTCCTGTACGTAAAAGCCTTCAGTTAGTTTGGAAACTGGGGGAGCCATCCTACATCAGATGGGGAGGGGGTGCGAAGTGACCACGCAAAACTCGAGTTGAGGGTAGCCGTTCATGTTATTGTAATTTGAATGTTCTAGACTGAATAACTTTGAACTGCCTGTCCCTATAGCTACCGCTTTTGCTGCACTTACCTCTTGCGCTTCAGTCTACGTGACGCGCTGATTACACATGGAAAACATCAAGGTCTTGAGAAGCCCTTTAACGAAAATCGCCGCGCGAGCCGGTTCAGAAAAAAGAAATGCACTGCGCAAGCGACAAAAAAAAGCGCTGAAATGGCCCGCGAGAGAAAGCACATTGTGTGCGCTACGCACATTGTGCGCAGCGAGTTTGCAGTTTCTGTCTCTGCGTTGTCCCTCAAGTGAACCTTAAGTGATCTCATGGCCTCTCAAGCACGAAGCTGTGCGCAAACTTCGCCTTCTCAGTGCCCCATTAAGAAAAAAAAAAGGAAAGCTTGGAGGACGTTGAGCTTCACCGTCAATAGTATAGTATACGATAGTGTAATCGGACCCTGTTCGCCTCGCCGTTTCCATCTCTACCCTTGCTTCACTTTTCGGCGGCTTATTATGCCTTCAACAGTGCAGACACCATGTGCAGTAGGCGCTGTTGGGACTCCGGGTCCTGCCGGTCTAGTTTTCGGTAGCTGGCCCCGTCGCAGGATCCACCGTCCAACAAATCAGCGAGAAGAAGCGCCCGAACGAACAACAGAGATTTATTTACATGTGGAGAAGTGGTCAACTGACCCAAAGAGAGAAGAGTGCGTGTGATACAAAACGTCTTCGGCATTTTATAGCGCCACGTTGTTGACGCTGGGCGCCTTGTCCGCATCGTCAGCCAATACGGTGTCGCCGGCACCTCGGCCACGAGGGAGGGGAAAACACCTCTCACAACACAAGGAGTGGCACAACCCAACACGAGGTCCAT